ACCCTAAACCCTAAACCCTAAACCCTAAACCCTAAACCCTAAACCCTAAACCCTAAACCCTAAACCTAAACCCTAAACCCTAAACCCTAAACCCTAAACCCTAAACCCTAAACCCTAAACCCTAAACCCTAAACCCTAAACCCTAAACCCTAAACCCTAAACCCTAAACCCTAACCCTAACCCTAAACCCTAAACCCTAAACCCTAAACCCTAAACCCTAAACCCTAAACCCTAAACCCTAAACCCTAAACCCTAAACCTAAACCCTAAACCCTAAACCCTAAACCCTAAACCCTAAACCCTAAACCCTAAACCCTAAACCCTAAACCCTAAACCCTAAACCCTAAACCCTAAACCCTAAACCCTAAACCCTAAACCCTAAACCCTAAACCCTAAACCCTAAACCCTAAACCTAAACCCTAAACCCTAAACCCTAAACCCTAAACCCTAAACCCTAAACCCTAAACCCTAAACCCTAAACCCTAAACCCTAAACCCTAAACCCTAACCCTAAACCCTAAACCCTAAACCCTAAACCCTAAACCCTAAACCCTAACCCTAAACCCTAAACCCTAAACCCTAAACCCTAACCCTAAACCCTAAACCCTAAACCCTAAACCCTAAACCCTAAACCCTAAACCCTAAACCCTAAACCCTAAACCCTAAACCCTAAACCCTAAACCCTAAACCCTAAACCCTAAACCCTAAACCCTAAACCCTAAACCCTAAACCCTAAACCCTAAACCCTAAACCCTAAACCCTAAACCCTAAACCCTAAACCCTAAACCTAAACCCTAAACCCTAAACCCTAAACCCTAAACCCTAAACCCTAAACCCTAAACCCTAAACCCTAAACCCTAAACCCTAACCCTAAACCCTAAACCCTAAACCCTAAACCCTAAACCCTAAACCCTAAACCCTAAACCCTAAACCCTAAACCCTAAACCCTAAACCCTAAACCCTAAACCCTAAACCCTAAACCCTAAACCCTAAACCCTAAACCCTAAACCCTAAACCCTAAACCCTAAACCCTAAACCCTAAACCTAAACCCTAAACCCTAAACCCTAAACCCTAAACCCTAAACCCTAAACCTAAACCCTAAACCCTAAACCCTAAACCCTAAACCCTAAACCCTAAACCCTAAACCCTAAACCCTAAACCCTAAACCCTAAACCCTAAACCCTAAACCCTAAACCCTAAACCCTAAACCCTAAACCCTAAACCCTAAACCCTAAACCCTAAACCCTAAACCCTAAACCCTAAACCCTTTGGAGAGGAGGTTAAAACCTTCAAGACCAAGGCCCAGGCGACGCTGCTGGTTTATAAGGAGAAAGAGAAAGCTTTTTGGGAGAGGGCAGCAGGAATCTGGGAGCCGAGAACACACACACACTTTGAAGGATTCCTCAAGAAAATTCTAGAGGCCTTCGAGCGTCGATCTGCAGCTGGTACCCCTGCTGCCGACGGCTACCTGGAGGAGCTGGCTGCCGACTACCTCGCACGGGGCATAGCTAGGGAGCTAATGTTCCATGCGGTGTGGGTACAGGACAGCCGCGGAGCAAGGGCTAAGGTGACAGCAAAGAGAGAGAGAGCGCGGGCTGAACAGGCACGGCTGGAGGACATTCAAACCAGCCCCTCAACGAGCCTACTGGAGCTGGTGCAGGCAGTGATGAACAAGGGCCTGGAACCCCTGCAGCAGCGACTTAAGGCTCTGGAGGACCGCCAGGCAGACAGCAAGGGTGAACCAGACTCAGGGCAGTCCGCACGACAGAGGAGGCGCCGACGCCAACGAGAAGCAAGAAAAAAGAGAAACCGTATCAAAGCTGCCGACCAGCAAACCACCAAAACGGGGGCAGAGGGAGCTACGGGAGGTACGACGGCTGCCTCAGCAGCAGCAGGGTGTGGAAAGGAAACGGGAGAGAGCGGGGGGCAGGCGACAGGGAGGGCTGACGACAGGCCAGCGGTTGTACAAGTGGCTGCGGGTGCAGCAGTGACTACAGCAGTAGCCGTAACAGTGACACAACCAGCAACGGCTAGTGCAACAGCCACCCTAGCAGCAGCAGGGGCAGCAGCTACACCAGCAGCAGCTAACACAGCTGCGGCACCAGCAACAGCCAGTGCGGCAGCAGCACCGACAGCGATGACTGCAGCACTAACGACCGGAGCAAGGGCCACACAGGCAGCAGCCAACACGACCAAGGCACCGGTAGCAGGCGGCGCAACAGCGGCCCAGAAAGTGACCGGGGCAAGACCGGCACTCCCCTCAGCGGTGGCGACAATCGCGCGGCACGAGGAGGGCACACGAAATGGAGGGCGCTGGCGGGTTACAGCAGGGACTTCGCAGCCGTCTGCAGCACTCGCCAAGACTGCTGCAGCGGTGAAGGTAGCTATGCGTGGGCTAAAGGTAAACCTGCCTAGGCGGCTCCACTGGGGAACAGCCCACACCACACAACCAACACAGTGGCAACAAGAGTACGCACTCCGCATTGCACCACAGCTCCCATCACAATACGGACGGCCAGCAGCACGCGCAGATATGAACACAGCACGGGGTGCACCGACACGAGCGCAACAGGGGGACGCAGGGAAGGGACAGAGCAACAGAGGGACACACAGCTGGAACTGCCGGGAAGCACACAGTTGGGTCAAGGGCAGCCAGCACAGAACGAGCAACCACCGGACCCCGAGCATGCAACCGAACGCACAGCACAGCTGACAAATGGCACAGGTAACCACACACTAGAGACACAGACACGAGTTGCACAACAACTTAACACCCCTGCCCAGCAAGCTCCGCAAGCATTCACGCCAGCAACATTCCCCGCATACACCGTCATGGCAGCTCCAGCACCGCACAACATGTACCACCCATACCCCTTCACACCCCATCACCCCACCTTTGCAAGTGGCAGCCATATCCTGCCCCACACGCAACCCCTCTTCTTTCTCAGAATCTCATCCCCTCTCTGCCCCCACAGGCACAGGCGCAGCCAGCACTCTCGAACATATCGGTCATGTCATCAACACCCGCACCACAGACATACGCATACATGCCTTACGCCCCCCTATCCAGCAGGTCACCCAAGGGCTTCAAGCAACCCAAGCAACAGGGAGAGCTAGACCGGCACAAGTTATAGGGGCACTCTCTACTCTCAACAACACCTCTGTTCCCCATGCCTCAGCAATGCATTTTTAAACTAGCGAACCCCTCCCACCCCTCACAGAACAGCATGCGGCAAGCAACACGTCTACAGACACCAACGACCAGCTACCCTCACCAAAGGTACGCCCACATGACCCAACCTACATCAAACGCACAGCACAACCAGGTAGAGACACCACCGCACACCCACCACCGACAAGCCGACCCAACCCCAACACCACCAACCCCAACAAACCAGCACCTCATCTCTCAGTCTGCATCCATCGACGCCACTACCTGTAACACCCTACCCTCCACACCATCTTCTGCTTTGGTAGCGAATAACACCTACCGGCAGGTGAGTAAGACCAGTCAATACAAACGACCTCGCTCGAGGCCTAGACGCAAGCACACCTCGACCCTGCTGACCCCAACCCAAAAACGCCTACTTCGAACACCGCAGATTATCCTACAGGACGAACTAAACTCGAAATTCATTCACAACAGATCCGCACTCACCCTCTCGCGCATAGAGCTCGAGGGGCTAAGCCTAGGACTCTCTTTCATCCCAACCCCATCACCCCCACAGAACAAACAGTTATGAGCGCCCTCTCAAGATTCACGAGAGCAGTGAGACTTACCGCACAGTTCTCGTCTGACAGGCCAGCCCCACGCTTTCGTATTGCCAACCCATCCTGGATGCCCAACCCTGCTCCCCCCCTGTAGAGCGATACATCGCGGAGGTGGGAAGGAACGTTACCAAACGCCTCCCACTGATGACGCGTAGCGCACGCAGGAACATGAGTGAGCAAGCGTTACGGTGCCTACAAAAGTTGGGTAAGAATAAAGAGGTGGTGGTAAAGCCAGCGGATAAGAATCTAGGACTCGCACTCCTAGATACTTCGTGGTATCGAGCAGAGGCACTTAGGCAGTTATCCGACACCAATTTTGGTGTCGGATAACTGCCTAAGTGCCTCTGCTCGATACCACGAAGTATCTAGGAGTGCGAGTCCTAGATTCTTATCCGCTGGCTTTACCACCACCTCTTTATTCTTACCCAACTTTTGTAGGCACCGTAACGCTTGCTCACTCATGTTCCTGCGTGCGCTACGCGTCATCAGTGGGAGGCGTTTGGTAACGTTCCTTCCCACCTCCGCGATGTATCGCTCTACAGGGGGGGAGCAGGGTGGGCATCCAGGATGGGTTGGCAATACGAAAGCGTGGGGCTGGCCTGTCAGACGAGAACTGTGCGGTAAGTCTCACTGCTCTCGTGAATCTTGAGAGGGCGCTCATAACTGTTTGTTCTGTGGGGGGTGATGGGGTTGGGATGAAAGAGAGTCCTAGGCTTAGCCCCTCGAGCTCTATGCGCGAGAGGGTGAGTGCGGATCTGTTGTGAATGAATTTCGAGTTTAGTTCGTCCTGTAGGATAATCTGCGGTGTTCGAAGTAGGCGTTTTTGGGTTGGGGTCAGCAGGGTCGAGGTGTGCTTGCGTCTAGGCCTCGAGCGAGGTCGTTTGTATTGACTGGTCTTACTCACCTGCCGGTAGGTGTTATTCGCTACCAAAGCAGAAGATGGTGTGGAGGGTAGGGTGTTACAGGTAGTGGCGTCGATGGATGCAGACTGAGAGATGAGGTGCTGGTTTGTTGGGGTTGGTGGTGTTGGGGTTGGGTCGGCTTGTCGGTGGTGGGTGTGCGGTGGTGTCTCTACCTGGTTGTGCTGTGCGTTTGATGTAGGTTGGGTCATGTGGGCGTACCTTTGGTGAGGGTAGCTGGTCGTTGGTGTCTGTAGACGTGTTGCTTGCCGCATGCTGTTCTGTGAGGGGTGGGAGGGGTTCGCTAGTTTAAAAAATGCATTGCTGAGGCATGGGGAACAGAGGTGTTGTTGAGAGTAGAGAGTGCCCCTATAACTTGTGCCGGTCTAGCTCTCCCTGTTGCTTGGGTTGCTTGAAGCCCTTGGGTGACCTGCTGGATAGGGGGGGCGTAAGGCATGTATGCGTATGTCTGTGGTGCGGGTGTTGATGACATGACCGATATGTTCGAGAGTGCTGGCTGCGCCTGTGCCTGTGGGGGCAGAGAGGGGATGAGATTCTGAGAAAAGAAGAGGGGTTGCGTGTGGGGCAGGATATGGCTGCCACTTGCAAAGGTGGGGTGATGGGGTGTGAAGGGGTATGGGTGGTACATGTTGTGCGGTGCTGGAGCTGCCATGACGGTGTATGCGGGGAATGTTGCTGGCGTGAATGCTTGCGGAGCTTGCTGGGCAGGGGTGTTAAGTTGTTGTGCAACTCGTGTCTGTGTCTCTAGTGTGTGGTTACCTGTGCCATTTGTCAGCTGTGCTGTGCGTTCGGTTGCATGCTCGGGGTCCGGTGGTTGCTCGTTCTGTGCTGGCTGCCCTTGACCCAACTGTGTGCTTCCCGGCAGTTCCAGCTGTGTGTCCCTCTGTTGCTCTGTCCCTTCCCTGCGTCCCCCCTGTTGCGCTCGTGTCGGTGCACCCCGTGCTGTGTTCATATCTGCGCGTGCTGCTGGCCGTCCGTATTGTGATGGGAGCTGTGGTGCAATGCGGAGTGCGTACTCTTGTTGCCACTGTGTTGGTTGTGTGGTGTGGGCTGTTCCCCAGTGGAGCCGCCTAG